GGGGGGGCCTCTCAGCTCGGATCGGTGGGGATCGGGTTTCGGCCTTGCGCAGAGAACAACAATGCTCAACCTGTGGAAACACAGGATGTTCCGGGTGCAGTGGTTGCCCCAGAGCCTGGCTTTTCGGTGTGCACGTGGTCCATGTTCGAAGGACGCTTCACGGAAAAGAATGCCTCAAGGGCATCCCGCAATCTTGGCTGTGTTGACCAATGCAGGAAGGCACCCTCCCCTGATCCAATACCACGAAAGACATGTAAAGGAGCAGTTTTGCCATCACGTGCGTATCATTTTGTATCATCCACCACGCGCTGCAGCTGACTAGACTGAATCCATGGAAAAGTGTTGCAAAAGATTGCCACAAGAAGAGGAAAGTGATCACACAATTGCAATGACTTCTCGGCGCCTTCATACCATGCGGCCCTGCTCTGGTTTGCGGCCGGCCAGGCTTCAAGAAACCCATGGATCGTGGTACAGCCTACTACATTAACCGGCTCATCCACCACCCCTACAGTGGTTTCAGAGTATACGATGGCACAATCCTCAAAAGGTTGTTTTATATAATTAGACCCCATACATATATATATATATTACAGTATATGAAAGACATCTTTAGGTTTGTGCCATCGAACCTCTGAAAACAATATATAGTTGTATGCCGTATGCAAATATGCCAGTCCGACCAGTCGTGTCAGTGTCACCTGCCACCGGTTTGGTCTTCAGAAAGTCGTCCACCTTTGGGGGCCCATGCGAAGACCAAACCATGTGATGTGCTCATCAAGTGCAAAACCATTCCACCCTAGGGCTCCAAGGGCCTTCTAAGAAGGTGTTTGGGGTGGGTTTAGAGGGATCCAAATACCTTCTGAGGCTTGGAGCCCTAGGGCCAATGACTGAATGCTTGTGCCACCTTGCCACATTCTGCCACTCTGGTTTTGCTTGACATTTGGGAGACGGTGAAGAGGAACCCTGTCATGTTCAGTGGTTCAGGGTGCCCAGGTCTTGATCCTCTTCGGAATCTAAGACCCGAACCGTAAAGCTTGGGAGGACCACACGCCGCTCCTGGCCGGATCCGACGGATGGCCGTCGACGGATGTCCAGACACCCAAAGCCAACCACCTCGGAGGAAGTGCTACTCCTGCCAAAAGAACATGGAACTGACAAAGCAGGAACCATTCCTGTGCAAAACCATTCCTGTGCTTACCCCTTGAGTCTGGAACCATTCCTGTGCAAAACCGGTTCTAGAGGAATGGTCTTCCAGAGGTTTGGCGCCGAGCTCAGGGATAAGCGGCCCGACCTTCGGCGGAAGCGGTTGGAACAACGCAGCTGGCCGGGGCAAGCAGCGACCGGCTCCACTGGGCAACTGGTGCCATCAATTAATTATCCAAAAGACTTTCACTCACTCACGCGCCTACGGGTCTCCAAAACCTTCTGAAAGCACCAGCTCCCAGCTCCTTCATCCGCCCCAAAAAAACCAAAAAACAACACATTCCTCAGTCCTCCTTCCCCTCTTCAGCCTGAGCCTACTTTCATCCTTCGACCCCCCCGGACTCGCCCCAATCTGGGCTTCCTCTGCAAGACTGGCCAAAGTGATCCATTCCACTCCTAGGGATCCGCTGCAAACCTGGCGAAACCCACATCGAACACGCCGCGCGGGTGACCCCCACCGAAGCATGTGCCGAAGCATTTTTGGTCTTATTCAGAAAATGATCCCGGCAAGAGACCCCAAACAGAGTAGAGGATGTAGAGGTATGTAGAGGTCACATACGAACTACAAGAAGAACCCCTAGTGTGACCACACTGCTTAGGGAAAAGCAACAAAAATTGGACGCATCTCGGCATCTCTGATGTGGTTGCCCCACTGGGGGGGGTCAACACTATGACATATGATGCTTTGCACGCTGGTTGTCGGTATGGGTGAAAAACGAAGGGATCCAAAAAAGAGGAACAACGAGAGAGAGAGAGAGAGAGCGAGCGAGCGAGCGAGGGAGTAAGTGAGTGAGTGAGTGAAATCAAGTGAAGTGAAGTGAAGTGAGTTGAGTTGAGCGCGTGAAGTGAAGTGAGTGGGTCCACCCTCAAACAGTGGAGGCCTGCCACTTGAAATGGCCCCCGGCCATCATCATACCGTCCCCCTTCGGAGATACAAACGGAGGAGTCACACTCAGTTCCAACGGGCTTTGGCTCAACCAGCGAGTGGACCCCGACACGGAACCTGAACGCGACCTTCGTTTCAAAAGCGCAAGAAACTTTACAACTTGGTGATGGTAAAAGGCCTTCAGGAACTGCTGCAGGATGCGGCAAAAGGCCTGGCAGCGCAGCAGGCATGTCAATGTCAAAGGCACTTGAATAAAGAAACGTACCATGCAAGGCCGCCACGTGTGGCATGCACGGAGCTGCGGCCTAACGTCAGCATTTCCGGAGTGCTCAAAAACCCGGTGTCTGGCGTCAGCACCCCTTGGGCTGCCAGGCTGCCAGATGTCCTAGGTCTGAGTGTTTTTGAACGTTGAGTACTGGATTCTGCTTTCAAAAAACTCAATGCCAAGGGTCGGTTCTTTAACTGTTCATTGAGGGGTATGGGAGCTATTGCAACCCACATGTGACATTGGCCATGCACACACACACACACACACACATATATATATATTATATATGATAAAAAAACGCACACTCTGACAATTGTATTCAGTTACACTCAATTCTCAGGTCAAAAATGGTGAGGGAACGGCATGGCGAAAAGTCCAGGAAAGTGTAGGTGTTTTAACACAATGGTTTTCGCACTTGACTGCGGAAAGCGCACAGCGGCAAAGCGGCTGCAGGTCTGCGGTGGGGAAAAAGTTTGGGGGAAGTATCGTGGAACCACCATGAATCAAACCGTGCGGATTGGACAGCTTGAAAAAAGTTCTTCTTGCAGGTACAGGAATGTGCGTCCACATTCCCTTCCGGCTGAATCCCGTAGCTTCGTTGGCATGGCTAGGGAAACAGCTGCCATGCCCCCTGCTTTGGAGAAAGGTGGTGGCGGTAACGATGGCAGTGAACCCTTTGGCACAGGGGGTGACACACACACATATATATATGTATATATATATATATTTATTTATTTATACACAATACTATGTGCAACATATATATTATATATATGTATATAAGTTGGACTTGTTTTAAATCCATGCCCTCGCTTGTCTCAAGGGCTTGCTGTGAATGCCCGCTGCCCGCAGAATAACTATAGACTCTTAGACTGGTGCACAAGAAGTTCCCCATCAACAGGCCCCTGTGATCACATTGCGTTGGGTTTTTCAGCACGATTTACGAACTTTGATGATGCCCCTTGTCCTTTTGTGAGTAGCATGGTTGGAAGGCAAAACCTGACCGCCCAAGTAGATCTCTCACTCTATCAAACTCGACCTGAAGCAGCCCCGGCACTTCATCTTTGGCGACGCACCTCGCCCTGGTCGGTCCAGCCAAGACAATCCAATGCCCAGGCGATATTGACGATCTCAGAGGCGCTACAAGGGTGTTGCTGGAAGTGGATTGGCCCTACCATGAGCTGTGAAAGCTATGGATCTCTTGGCTGCTGAAGGGTGTGTGGCAAACCCTTTTTGGTTTAGAATGAGAACAATTCTGAAGAACCAAATAGGGATAAACACCACAAACCCAATTGGCGCACAAAGAAGACCCCGACTCAGGACAAAGGAACAAAACAACAACAACCCCAAAAGTTGCATCATACGTCGCAACAGTTCCTGAAACCTACGAAACAATATCCTCACCTTCCCCCAGTCCCAAGGTCCTAAAGCTCCATTCAGCGGCCTGGCTGTTGCCAAAACAGACCTCTTTGTTGCATGGACGAACCGCAAGCTCGGGGCCTCTTAGCAAATAGCACCCAGCAAACGGTGACGGAAGCCAAATTGAGAGGCCGTGACAAAGTGAGCGTACTGTGTTTTTTTTATGTAGTGATCAACCTGTAGAACTTGGTGTTGGTCCGGAATCTCCAATGCGGCTATGTTGTAGAGAGAGGGAGAGAGAACTTTCAACGCATGGTCAATCTTCTGTTGCCAACAAGGCCCACAACCATAAAATGCAACGATACCATGGAGACACAGGTGTGCAAGCTGTAGCTTGTCGCTTCTTAAACAGGTGTGCCAGTGACCTGATGACAGCTAGCAAATGGCCATGTTCCCTGGTGTGGGGATGTTGAGAAACACCAGTAGCTAGAGAGTCAACGAGAGCCAAAACAGCTGGATCTTGGGATGCACTGGTCCAGACTTCACCCTCTTGGATCCCACGCATTCTGCGAGATGGCCTAATACAGCAAAGGGCTGGTAGTGAGTCACATCAGTGAGCAAAAACCATCAGCGCTGACAATGGAAATTTGTCATGTCAATCATATACATACATCCATCCATTGAACTAGTAGCTCCTCCCAGGATTTGTTCAAGAATAGGCACGACAGGAGCCCTGATTGTTTTGCAACATGTTGCAACCAAATGTTCCGTACCGCATTTGAGCGATGGCCTCCAACCTACAAGCGATGGCCTCTAACCTACTATAGCGATGGCCTCGAACCTATATACTAGCGATGGCTTCCAACCTACTACCGATGGCCTCCAACCTACTAGCGATGGCCTCTAACCTACTAGCGATGGCCTCGAACCTATATATTAGCGATGACTTCCAACCTACTAGCGATGGCCTCCAACCTACTAGCGGTGGCCTCCAACCTACTAGCGATGGCCTCCAACGATGGCCTCCACAACCTACTAGCGATGGCCTTGAACCTAATGGCAATGGCCTCCAACCTACTAGCGATGGCCTCCAAACTACTATAGCGATGGCCTTCAACCTAATAGCGATGGCCTCCAACCTACTAGCGGTGGCCTCCAACCTACTAGCAATGGCCTCCAACCTACTAGCGATGGCCTCCAACCTACTAGCAGTGGCCTCCAACCTACTAGCAATGGCCTCCAACCTACTAGCGATGGCCTCCAACCTACTAAGACTAGCGATGGCCTCCAACCTACTAGCGATGGCCTCCAACCTACTAGCAATGGCCTCCAACCTACTAGCA